TTCAAGAACAAAAAGTCGTATTTCGTTTACAGTACAAAGCTGTACTAAAAAAATCTCTTTCACAAAAATGCTATCTGAAAATGCCTTACACATAATTAAATGATACAGTTAATAAAAACAAAGTATCAAAGGGAAAGAAAAATAAAGGTTTGAAGGCAAGAAAATGATGTTTTCAGATCTGATTTCAAAATTATGTTGAGTAAATGAGAAAGCAAATTTAACAATATTATTATACTGTATCATTAGGAGAAAATGAGAGCAATCTACTTATCACTAAACTGCATTTTTAAACAAAACAAAAAAAAGCCACTTAAAACAAAATACATGGTGGGTGTAAAGACCATAAAAGACGGGTTAATTACAACCAACCAGAAGGAAGGTTTCTGTAAAGCCTCCCTTCTTCACATGGTGCAAACCAGACTGCTCATTGCCTAAATGAAAGAACATGCTTTGACTAGTGTGGGGAGAAAAACACATTTAACATCGAAGCCACACGCTGAGAGACTGCAATCACTGCATATTCCACCTCAAGGCAAAAAAAGAAGTTAATCTGATGCATTTGTGAATGGAGTAAAAGGCCTCACACAGAGTCCACTCCAGGCAGAAATTTTATTCATTGCAAATTAAGTGGTCAAAGGTGTCATTCCACTTGCCTGATGCCAGTGCAAGCTTATAATGAGGTGGTTCCACTGCTTTTCTATTGCACCACAGGTTAAACCCCGTCAAACGTGCCGAGGTTTCCTAGAGCGGATGCACATCCTGACTGGTGTCTCATTTTCTTCAGGAAATGGAAACCAAAGTGAGCTGATTTTTATCATTAAATGTAATGGCTTCAATATAAAGAATGCTAAAGGGAGGTTTTGCTGTCCACAAACCTGCACTGTGACTAGGATGTGCACTGCATTTTGACATAATATAGTGCACCCATTTTGACATAATATGACCCCGTGGAAAACAAGCAAACCGCACAAATTAAGTGTCCTTTCCCCCTCAGGGACTGAATGCCCAATTCCCATAGCACACCTGAGCTGCAAAGGTGGTGTATTCCTAAATTCTCCCCTACAGATTAAAAATAAGATGTATTTGCAGATAGGTACTTTGTTCCTTGAATAAAACAGAGAGGTGAAAAAAGTTAGTGAGATGAGTTGCCAAAATCTTAACTTAGTATCAAATCTATCTGTTCCACACATTTAATAATCCAATAAACCTCTATTATCATAATCTTACAACATAACCACATTCAAAATACAGCTAGGTATGAGATTAGAACTTGCCTTCATAAACATCATTGGAAGCCAGTTTCAGAATTTGCAATTTTCATCCTAGATTAAGAAGAAATTAAAAAACAATGCTAGCATAAAAATACTAACATTATCAAAATTATTCTGTTCATATGGTTGACGAATTATTCCTTCAAAGAATACAGTTAGCAGGGAATTATAAACAAATAACACCCAGTGTAGCCAGGCACTTACTTGAAGCACTTTGGAGAAACAAGTCTTAAACATAGAAGAACGACACAAGTTTGCAGCAATGAATTGCTCAAAGCAAAGCATGTGCTCACCTGCTTGAGCGAAGCACGTGAACGCCACAAGGATTTGGTAGCTACAACCTAGCTGATTTAAGAATAGCAGCAGCTGCTCCTGTGGAGATTCTCTAACAGGTAGGGAAAAGCCAAGTAAAAATATAATCAAAAATTGAGAAATGCAAAACTGAGGAGCACTACTGCATCTGTTTCATTTGATCTCAGTAGTAGCTCTGGGACTAGGAAGACTTAAAGAAATGCACATTCCAGTCACTCATTTCTCAACCAAGAACCACCCCTTTAGCATCATCACTGTCAAAACGTCTATAAATTTAATGGACAGAAATCCTTGTAAGATGCAGCGAACATCTGTAATATCTCCCCTGCATCTCTGAGCAGAGACACCGGTGCACTTATCCACTTGGAAATACCTCTCCCCTAACAACTGCCATGTATCAGGCCTGTCCCCTTGCTCCTGGGGGATGGCAGACAGCCAGTCTAGAGCCAGGTGCTGAGCGGGAAGTCGGGGAGTACGTACGGAGCCTCCCCAGGCCTCAGCTGCCTTCTACAGAGCAGCACTTCTGTGTCCACTGAGTTAGGGTTTTGCTGGGCTTGTGTGGGGGACAGAGGTGACCTCAAACGCCGGAGGAGGCTTGTGACCGTCACCACTAAGCCCCTGCCATGGGGATCTCCTGGCCGTGAGCGCCGGCGCAGGGGCCTGGCCTTGGCTTGGGTGCAGCCCGCGGTGGACACAAGTTTCTAGCAGCAGCTGGAGCTCCCAGTGCCAGGGCATTACCGTGGTCCCCGGCCCCCTCGGCGTGGAGATGGAAAACATGGAACAAACGCCTCTCCCAGCTCCAGAGCACCTATAACAGCACGCACGCAAAGCGACCGACGGCACTTGTTTACAAAATCCGTGGCTTACCTCCTCCCGCGCACCGGGGACAGCAAGGCTCGTGGAACAGCCTAACTTTAAGGTATGTCAAAATACGAAGAGGCTTTTGATGTATATTTAATTACAAAACTCAAAGAAAATCCAAAAGCAACCTGAGGTGAAAAACCCAGATATGTGATTCAGCTAGGAGAGCTCAGAGAAATGCGGAGAACTGCACATTTTCCCCCAGCTGAATACTTCAGACAATATTTTAAACAAGCAGCACAAATCTAGACGTGGCTGCTAAGCACCCTGACAGCCCAGAAAACTCAATGTCTTAACAATTAGGAAAAGAGTATTATGTATTATCACGTATGCTTTCAAAGCCAACCATGAGGAGAAAGAAAGAGGGTAAGGGAAGGAGAGGGAAAGAGAGGAAGAGCAGTAGAATAGACTTAAGAAGGTAATACTTCAACCATGTCTAATTGTGTGAATGCTGAAAATTAATTTTACCCCACACTTACACAGCATCCAGCAGATGAGCGGTCTGTGGCAACCACAGCTCGGTGGTGGATTAGGCAGAAAGTCTAGAGAAGCAGAGCCCCTGTGGCAGGTCGTGACACTGGCGAACGGGCTGGATTCAGGAATCCAGGCGCATCTCATATCTACTGTTCTTTTCCCTGCAAAGTGATGCAATGTTAATTTTTCTCCTGCAGCATTTCCTAAGTTTTTTTATCTATAGCTCATAGAGTTCTCTGCACTTAGTAAGGATGACTAAATCTGCTCCCCGACAGGCAAACTAGATATGGGTTTCTCCAGCTGCCTTGGACCTAAGAGAAAAACACTGCAGTGAGCTAGACACCATGAAGCGGCCGCTGCAAGGAGGGAGCAGCCTCCGTGCTGGCTCTGAGCTCTGCGGAGCTTTACGGCCTGCACAGCTGGATTCTGCCTTGAAGCAGCACCACCGTCCTGACCCTTCGTTTATCAACAAGGAGGCTGCGTCATGGAAGAATTAAGGTGCCAGCCACACAAATGCTTATGCACGGCCTCACTTCTACACGCACGTGAGCTGGTTTGCACTGAAGCTCGCTTGGGCAGGGGCCATCTCACTCACTTGTGCCTCCCCTGCAGCAGAGCTCACACCAGGGCTACTCCAGGTCTGAACAACAGCACACTCGTTCCTGCACCCCATGTATGGGAAAAGGTGGAAGGCACTAGAGCTGCGCAGCAGCCAGGCAGGAAGCCCGCAGCACTCCTGCTTTGCCTTGCCCTCGGCCACTCGACCGCTGCACAAGGCAGCAGCTCTGCGGGACGAGCTCGCTGCCAGCTCTGCTCCGACAGAGCCAGACTGTCCCCCGGGCCCTGCGTGTCATTCACTGCTCGACGCATTGCAATAAAACTGGTAATTCCACCATCCTGAGGAACACTGAACCATCCGCAATGCTCCTGACCTACAAAATCTCCCAAGAGGGAGCAAAGCAGGTGCCAAAATAGAAGACTGATAATAAAAGATATCTAAGTTAAGACAAGTATACAATATTCCCGTTAGCACATTATATCCAAGCATTGTTTTTATCAACTTGAAAGCTACAGAGCATATGTAAGGATTACCTCCTCACAGACTTTATCTCAGCCCTGTTACCTATAAGGTTCTCATTATCATGTATCACTTGCACTGCAGAGCCCTTTTAATGCATTTATCTCGTATTTTATCAATTCATGCTCCTTTCTAAAGGACAAGCAAAGCATGGGCACAACAGGACACTTGCCAGAATGACGCCAGAGTTTCCACGTGAGCAGCACTAATGGCCCCGTTCCATTTTCACTGAAACTCCAAATTCCAGAAGATGATGGTCTCTATTGAGTCCACATCCTTTCAAGCCTCCCTTCTTATTTCCCCTGATCAGTAATGCTGAGGTTTGCGCTATCACTCCCAAGGCAGCAATGGCTCTTCCAAGGGAGCAACACGGTGACCGTTCAGTACGTTCTGTCCTGGAGCACGTTTATGCAGCACTGGAGATGCCAAGATGCTAAAGACTTTTCTTAATTAAGAAAACTGATCCAACTGTTTGCAAAACAAAAGCAATGCACTGAACTACCTCCTGCTAAGCGGCTGCCCTGCAGTGGCAGAATGGAAGCAACGGGCGAGTCTGCAGCACACACGTAGCTCTTACCTCGATGAGCAACGATTGGCGTTCAGAGAAAGAAAACAGAAAACGATAAAGAATAAGAAACCATTCAGAAAGAGGATCACATGCTGTGTTTTTAAGACATGAAATGTAATTTCATTTGTAAAGGCAGCTACCCAAGACTGCAGCTGGTGCCAGGCAAATATAATAAATAACAGACCTCACTGTCTGTGACAGCAGAGCTTATTTGCTTGCTTTTAGATGGGCCGTGTTTCGGAAAGGTGAAACGTTTAAAATACTTCGGCACATAATGTAACTGAGATTTTGGCTACCTGCTCATCGATTCAGAATAAATCCATCTGAATCTCCTTCGAAGGATAAATTTTGACACAGTTGAGAACAGATGCTTGACTGTATAGTGACAAAAACGATAAATATATTCTGTATGCATATTATATAACTATATTCTTACCAGCATGATCCGCCTCGAGGCAGCGCTCAGCCTGAAGGCGCGATGCAACGCGAAGGAGCCGCGGGCCGAGCGGCTCTGCCTGCCCCGGGGCAGCAGCAGCCCTGAGAGCCGCGTCGCCTCGCACAGAGCACCCCGAGCACAGCCAACGACCAGGCACTCCTCACGGGTCCCACCAGCACCCGCCTGACACCACCGCATCGGCAGCGCTATGGGAGGAGGCTCCACAGGCATGTCGGGCAGCAGATGCACGTGTTTCAATGTGTTTTTCTCAGAAGTCAGGCTGCCTAGATTAGGAAAGGAGCAGCACAAGCCATCGCCCGGAGAAGCACGTACTTCAGAGGCGGGAAGGGCTGGTGGGGTCTGGGAAACCTCTTGCAAGAGCCGTCTTGGCTCTGCCACCACACAGCTCCCCACGGAGGAGGGTGAAACAAACAGGAGATGCAATCTGTGCTTAAGAAAGAAGAAGCTTTATCTAACCTTCAGGGAATATGTATTAAAATTTAATTCTCATAAATATCTTTTACAGCTTACAGAGTTAATTAGATTGAATCCATTTAGGTTTCAAACCATTAAATAAAGTTTTTCATTGATTTACAGATTATAGGTTGATATATCACAGCAAAGCTCCTTCCTGTTTTATTATCCCCATTGAATCCTTTTTAAAAATATTATTCAGCCTGAAATCAATAACTACCCATGCAAAGGAAGGAAGAGACAGAAAGTTTCCCAAACCCCAGCTTTACATCTGTGGGGTTAATCTTAGCCCCAAAGCAACAAAATGAGTTGTGCCTCAGCCCAGCAATGGGCTGCCCTAAGGTGGGCAATGATGGCAAACGCGGCATCACGTTTGCCAAAGTGGATAGGGGTGATTTTCCAAACCAGAACGTGTATGGGCCGAGCTCTTGACATATCTGTATGCTCTCAGTAGAATGAACACCCCTCGATATGTTCAGGAAAATGTCTAATTATGATTACATGATAGTTGACCAGAAGGTTTTCTCAGTTTTCACTCTCTCCTGATTTCATTTCCCAAGATATCTTTTTCAATAGGAAAAAAAAAAAAAGAAGCTGTTATGAACATTTGCAAAACAAAAAGCACTTAAGATTTTTGGTAACTGTTTTTTTATCTCTTTTGATGACTTTTTTGTATGGTTTTCAAATAAGACTGGATTGGTTTGGGAAGGCACAGTATTTTCTAGAAAAAGGGAAAATACATCCAACATAATAATTATGTTGTAAAAAAATGTATTTTGAAACTAGTTTTCAACAAGAACAGTTTTTTCCAAAAGCGTTAACCAGTTCAACTGCTGATGATTCATCAGTCTACTCAAAAATATTCAAGAATGACTAATTTGAATTTTAAAGTGCAAATAAGCAGGTTACACACGACGAGATGCAGGCCACATTCCTCTCTAATGAGATCTCCTGCATGGGAGCGAGGCGAGAAACTGCTCGGCTCCTGCTGCAGCTCTGCCGAGGGCGGCGAGCTCCTCCTGCTCGCGCTCGAGCCCTCTCTCCAGCGCGCTCACCCGTGCGCTCTGGAAGCCCCTGCAGCACCCGGCAATCAACGCGCACAGCGCTGAGAAAACGACAGCATCTGCGGCGACGCTCCCATGGCTCAGCCACAGTGAGAGCAGTTCTGCTACCGTGCTCAGCCCAGCAACGCAAGTGCTGCCAGGAGACGCTCTGCACAGGACCACCCCTCCAAAACACGTGGGAACTGCATCCCACAGGCCGTATGGGATGCTGAAGTCTGGGGGCACAAGGAGGAGGTGAAGACATTATAATGGTGTAACCGCACAAAACGCTGTCACTGAAGAATCACACATTTTTCTCCATCACCCAGAAAAGCATTAGCTAATAAAATCATCGGATCCATTATTAGATTCAGTTCCAGTCGCTTTGCCTGCTCTGGCAGGGCTGTTCCTCCCGGAGCAGGCAGGGCGCAGGGAGCGACCCCATGGCCATTCATTGCCTGGCAGCTCCGAGATGCCAGGCGCAGAGACCCACACGGAGCCTCCCGTGCTGCAGCAGGGTGCAGGAGCGTGGCTGCTCGCGGCTCACGCGCTTATCACCGACACCATAATGCAATTTAAACACTTTCCTGGCAGAAAAGTGACACACTACAAAGCTCAAGTGCTTCTGACCTACCCTGTCCTACTAATGCCTTTTGTAGCTGCAAAGAAAGAACGTCTGAGTTATTATTTTCAATGCGGGAGAGCGGGCCCAGGCGCTGGTATGCCGGGGAGGCCTCGCTGGGGCCATCTGCGGTGGCCTCCAGGGCAGTTCCTCCATCCGAACAGGAATCGTGCTCCGTGGCCCCACCATGAGCAGCGGGGCTTAATGTTTTCACAGGCTTTTCCATGTCTCAGCTGCCTGTACAGCCACACGTTCTCTTTCCTCCCCCTGCCTGGGCACTCTCTGCCCCAACACAAGAATGTTACCGCACTGCAAATAGGCTGGATGGGCACATAGTCCCCTAAAATGCCACAGCTTAACCCTGCCTATCAACTGCTCCTCTTCCCTCGCACACAGCTCAGCTCTCCCAGGCGAGCAGGGCACTGGTGGGACCTGGCATCTGCACAGGGAAACCACTGGCTCAACCCTGGCTCCCGCTTGCTCAGGAAGGAGCACAGACAATGCCCGCGGGTTCCTCCTTCCCCTTCCGTGTTCCCCTTTCCCTGGGCAGCCACATGTCGCACCGTTACCTACACGGCTTTGCCCCATCCCATGTCCCTCACCCTCCCACATTGCCTGGTGCCACCAACCTCCCCTCTCCCTCATGCCGCCTCCCCACACGTGCTCGCATCAGGAGCTTCCTCGGCGGATTCTGTTTCAGCAAATGGATGTGCTTCAGAGGAAGCATCTCCAAAGGACCTTTTTTCTCCTACATTTATCTGCCGAGATGGTTTTCTATCCTGCTTTGCCTCATCAGTGTCAGCACTTACACTGCTGCTGCCCGAGCAGCTCCCTGCACAGCAGCTGCCTGTGCCTCAAGTAAACAAATCTCCGCACTTGCTCATCACTAGCCGTGTCTCAGATCATGAGTGTAAAAGCCCCAGCATTAGCAGTTGAAGGGCCATCAGATTCTCCAGTCAGCCACGCTGATATTAAATTTTCCAATTGGATGTGCAGGATTGCTGTGGTCAGGATGCGACCCGCAGCCAGGAGCCAGCAAGGAAAGAAGGAAGCAGAAAAGGAAGGAAGGCGGAAGGCTGTGCTCACTGCAGCGGGCGCTGCCTTGGGCTTTCCCCTTTGCCAGCTCCGTGCTTTGCCTCCTTTTGCCAAGGCTTTGGCTCCTGCTCCGTGCCGCCCACAGGCGCCAGCAGGCCAGGAGCGGACCCCAGCACGTGGACCCCGCGCGGCGCAGACAGCGGCCTCTCCTCCCGGCCACCGGCACAGACACTGGCTGCCAGGAGCTGCCTCCTCTGGAGCTACTGACCCTTGAGTGCTGGGTGTAGCTCACATGTAACAACATGATATTATACATGGGAAAATATCTTATTTTCCCCAGTGAAGGAAAATCATTCAAATGTAGCGTTATTATTATCATGCACGGAGAGTCCAACTTGAAGAGGAAAGGCTGCTGCTAGCTCCCATGGTAAAAAGGGTTTTTCTTCACCCGAATCCAGCTCAGTGAAAGAGCAGGATCGGCAATGGCGCTTTTCATTCAAGTGGTGTTTTGTCAGAAAATATATACATAAAGCCCCTGTAAAGAACAGTTCATTTAGAATTAAATCAATTTGCTTTCTACTGTACTCCTTGCCTGAGGCATTGATTTGTTTAAAAAACTGACACAGAACATGATATTCTTGCCATGGATATCAAGAGATACACAGACTCAGAAGGTCTATATTTTCATGACAGTCCGAGTTAATTACTTTTAAAATTCCTATTAGAGCAGCTCCGATCTATCCCTCCATAATTATCTGGGGCATTTTTCAAATATGTAGCGAATGCACCTGAATAGCAGGCACGACTGCAGGGTTCCTCAAAACATAAGCTTTCAAAATATAAATGGTGTTTCGAGATTTCATCAAATGAAGATAAACCAGTAGCAGGGTCTCCTCTTCCATTAGGATAAATGGAAGGAAAGGTTTAGGACTGAAAACCGGAATCGCTTCCATTGTGCTCCAGGTCCATTGTGTCCCAAGCAGCCTGCAGTGTGCCAGAGCCTCCCAAGAGTCGAGTCATCCTCCTCACACAGGAGTATTAATCCTGCACACTGCAATGGGGGCCCAGTTGCCTGGGGCTTCCAACGCTCTTAGAACAACTCTGTTTGATATATTTGTACCAGCTTTTGCAGAATATTCTATTCTGCTGTAAGAAGCAGTTGCATGGCAGGTAGGGAGGAGAGGAGCTGCCTTCATTTAATTGCAGCAGGTTTATTTCTGCCTCTAACGTTATTGTTTCTACCACCAAGAAATGATCATAAGAGCCTGTGGGCTCCTTGGTGCACATGTGGCTGCTGGAGGTGATGACTCAAGAAGGAAGGCAGTGGAGAAATGTGTGTTTTTCCCAGATCATCCCCACATACTTGGTAAATACACTGAGGCTTAAGAGATGCTCTGAGTATTCGCTAAGCTCCCCACACTCACTGCAGAGACCACCAGCATGGGTGCAAGGCCCTGCAAACACCAGCATGGGCTGAGCAGCCTGCGCGCAGCTCTCTGTGGTCACATTGCATGGCTGAGAAGTAATAAGCCATGATATAACAGCAGCTACCCAGCAGCATCCTCAGGGGAAAGAAAGTTATAACTTCGCCTCTAATAGAGTCCTCCAAACTTCCTACTGAATCATTTCCCTCTGAAGTTTCGGCAGCTACTCTTTCTTTCACTGCAGTAAATATTTCAAAGTGGACGCTAGGCGTTTATTTCAATTATTCTCTTTTTTTCCCTGCTTTTCAGGGAACGTCAGTGTTCTGCTCAGAACGCCCTGTTTATTCTACATTTTCACACAAGCGTTTCAGGAGCTCTCACACGTGGGCCAGCGCGCAGCCGGGCGCCACCACACGCGGCCTCCCGGGGAACTTCGCGTTACCCCATCGATCCACATTGTGTCCTTCTCCTTGCTAATCAAAGAGCGCTTTCGCTGGCTAGTCAGCTGCTTTTAAATAAAGAAGGTGCATTAAGTAGTAGTTGCTGGAATTGAAATTTCATGATGAAATTAATGTCAAACTGTATTTGAAACCTGAGGAAGACGTGTGTGAAAAGTCTGGTTGGAGATCTGGA